GAAGATGATAATGAATTTATCGAAACGTCGTAATAATTGTAATGATACTAAACTTATTTATTTAAAATAAAACAATTTATTAAAAATTGTTTCTGCTGCTGTAAAAATTTTATAAATTTAAGTCGTGTAACAGCGTACAATCTTATTTTTTCAACTAGCTGATAACATAAAGTGAACGTTCTTCAGTCCTTCTTATCATTTTCATTTACGGATTCACCAGTATTGGTAAAATACTGGTACTATTGGACCAGTATACTGGTACTGGTGCATCCCTACTCCCGTTGTTGACAGTGTGAAATAAGAGGACGAAGTTTGTTTTTGCTCCGACGTTATATTTTGACGCATCCTATATTCGTTGTCGAATAATCCGAGATTTTGTTTCGATTTTCTGGTTTCTTTTTTGACGTTTGGTTTACTTTTTGAACATGTTGAACGGTGCAAGTACTTTTTGTATAGTCTACATAGTGTGTATGTGTAAAAATGGCTGCTGCTGAAAACGTGTTGGCGGTTTGGATTGATGGATTGTATCTGGGACCAAACGAATCTGTTTTAATACCACTAAATATCTTCGACTTGTGCAAGCGCGTGATGGACCCGGGCCATGACAATCTTGGAGAATCTATGCTCTTTCATTTTTGCGTACAATCAAATGTGAATCCGACGGGCTTGACCGTAGACAACAATGGTCCTCAGCAAGTCAGTGGCCGTTACCTGTTTCGTCTTTGTTTGAAAGTTGCGCTCAATAATGCCTTTGTCGAAGGTACTCCGGCTGGTGGAAACACTGAACGCCAAGTTCAGCTGCTTGTTGACTGGCATGATGATGGCTTTCATTATGCTGGCCCAGTGCCGGCAGCTGATTCACGACCTGTGAGGCAGTACCTTCCTGTTGGCAACCGTAACAACATCCACAACCAAACTGTGAAAAATGCGATTTTGAACTTTCGTCGAGTTTTATACTGATCCAGATATTTGAAAAATGAGGCAGAGCCATAGTCGTTGAACAGAGTTTTTCTGTTGTCTAACCAAATTTTTTTTTTCTAAGGAATTACTGCACAGACAATCTAGAAAGAAATTGAATAAATTACTGCCGTGTCTTTTCAATTCCTCATTGAGAGTGTGAGGGTGATGTTAGCTGTCGTGACGCGGGGTGTGCTCATTCAGTAATATACCTTTACCTTCACCCACACCCACACCCTCAAGATAGACTACTGAATACATATGTTATTGAGTTCGAAAAAAATGTACGTCTTATGATGTTGGACATGCATACGCAACGATAGATTGAAAGATTAATTCATAATTTGTATTGATTTCTATTTATAATTGAAAAAGGAGAGAAAACTAAAGTCATTACCGAAATCAGTTAATTAACGAGACTCAATAAACATATTGTTGAAGATGATCGATATGCTGTTAATCTAATTTGAAATTTCAGGCTTTTTTAATGCTAATTACTAATTTTTGTAGTGTATTGTCCACTGATTGAAAGAAAGTTGATGAGACACATTTTCTTCGAAAGAAGGTAGGCTTTTATAATCTTCATCAGCATGATAGTGGCCATTAGATTTTTTTCTAAATATTATAACGGTCTTATGTACACACGTGCATGTGCAGCGAAAAAAGAAAAAAGACAGAACGAGAGAGATGAACAAGAGAGCTAGGTAACTTAATGAAAATAACGATGGCTTCGTGTTATCTCTTCTAGAAAATTTATTTTTTAAATACTTGTTTGGGATTTGAGCATACACCACTGAAAAAATACCTGACGTCTATTCAGTTTTTACGCTCTTTCCAACTATGTAACTTCTAATATGTCTGCATGAAGTAAAAATTTTCTAGGGGCTTGATATGTAGTTGGTTACAATGCGTAAAGAGCTCAAAATGGCATTATTTGCGCTTACAGACAAAACATTTCCTGTCCTAAATTAGCATTGAATTCTGCATCGCAGGATATAAAATTTGATAGGATAATGGAAAAAGTATTTCATGAACCCTGGGTCCCCACATGCAGAATAGATATGTCAAAAAATGAAAGCTCTTGTCCAACAGAAAGTGACACACCATTTGACTCAGAATTTCATGTCGATTCAAAATATGTCGTTAGTTTTGAACAATGATTTTTACCAAAAATAGGTCAAATAGTTGCGATTATACATTTACTCCGCTAGCGCCAGCAAGATTATATGTTTACCTCAAACGGGGTAAATATATAATTATGTTGAGCTCTCAGGAAATCTGTCACCACTAAGTTAAAGTGCCATATTTTTGAAAAATCTTTCGATGAATCGATAGAAAAGCGTTTTTTCTGCATTTCTCTCGGAGGAAGTTTTGCAAAATAATCGATGATAAAAGAAATTGAGAGAAGTAAATAGAATGCTCGATTTTCCTTTTACATCTACCCCATCTGACTCTATATGTAGAGAACGAAAAAGAACGAACATTAACTGAAAATAACTTCCGCACATGTCTAATGGCACATCTAACGTATTTGTCGTAAGAGAAACGTGTCTATCCATTCATCNTTATACCCTAAATATTTTTTTTTGTAACCTTACCCTACCCTGCCCTACGAGCTTTATACCCTAACCCTGCCCTGCCCTACGAGTTTTGTACCCTAGCCCTATCCTGCCCTGTAGGGCAGGGTAGTGTAGGGTAGGACAAGGTTGACCTGCAGGACTCTATTCTTGGGATCTAAAACTCATTGTATTTTATGAATATTTATGTGGCTTTTCAATGCATTTACATCAGTTTCATTTTGAATTACGAAGGAACTAAAATCGACCAACAGTATAATTAATCAAAATTTATTTATTTCAAGTTAATCAGCTTTATTGACAATACTTAAAATTTATTTATTAATTGGATGAATAAAGATAGAATCAACTGATTTGAAAAATTTCAATCAATAAAATCTAGTTCTCAGGTACAGAAAGTGTTTGTCTGATTTTGCTCCAGACTGGTGAGGGAATCTTTGAGAGACATGAACAATTAGTTGGAACGAAAAACTTTTCCATACATTTTCGTATTTTCACTGTTGGGATTCGAAACTAAGAGTTGGAACATTTATTAGTATATCAGCGTGTAGAGCACGATCTATCCTTCAAAAGTTACTATTTCAATTCTTTTTGTCTTTTGACAGGACACCTCAAAGTTTGTTTTTCTTACAGCTGATCTTTTCGACGTTTACAAAATTCGATTATTACTCTCGACCAAAAATAGACACAAAATTTCTAGTCCGTTATTCGCAAAGAGCACAAAATGCTGGTTCTAGACCGTAGTTTTTAACTCATATGACATACTTTCAAGCAGACCAGAATAAAAATCTGTTGTACAGAAACTTCGACCCACTCGTTCCGTTCAAACTAACTTTTTAACCCTTCCAGAGATATCCTCACTACTTTGGGACAAAAACGTTTTGAACCCATATTCGGAACGAGCATCGAATTCTAGTTCTAACTCATAGATTTTCACTTGTCTCGAGTACTTTCAAGACGGTAAAAAATGAACAAAAATTTTGTCCAGAAACTTTTGTACCACCCGTTAGAAAAAAATTTCTATAGATCAATACACCTTTCATCAAATATTGGAATTCCTATGTTGAAATAATTCAGCATGTTCTCATTTGTAACAGTATATATTCTTTCATACATATTTAGAATTATGGTTTTTATTTAAACAATAGTTGGCAACAAACATAATAAAGGCATTTCTATATTCAGAAAATAGTCTTTGAAATGTTTTGGTAAAACATTATCATAACAGGCATAATGCATTTTAGCAGAATTGATTCGTGTTTCATCTCTCTCGAAATTGTCTGTAAGTAACCGCAAAGATTCGTAGCGAGCACATAGACGAACATTATTTGGCAAATACAATTTGGTGTCAAGTAAAAATAATTCGACATAATCATCATGAGCTTCAAGAAGATTGAGTGTAGTAAGATGAGGATATTGGATAATTAATAGATCTTGATTGTTGTTCTTTGATTTGTTTTTCTGTGGCTTTTTATTGATTAAAGTTAATTCTTTCATACATGGAAATGAATGAGCAATTTGAAGAAAAAAGTCATGTTCAAATGGACGTTCATCATGTAATGATACTTCATAAACAAATTTAAATAATCCACCTGGAAAATTATTTGAGACATTGTCATAATGTTTTAATCTATATGGATGTGAATAAAAATGACAATAACTGTAATGTTTCTCTTGGAAATGATCGGCACAAGAAATAATTCGCTTATTAATAAAATATTTGAATGAATGTTGAATATCTTTATTTGATGGCACATTAGTTTGATTAGAACTATGATTGTATAAACGAATATTACATGTAAATTGATTTAGTCTTGACATATGATTGATAATATTCTTTTTTAAATCGTTCCCATCAATAAATCCTTCGTTACGGTTGACCTTGAGACACAAATCTAGTTTTTCTAAATTAAACATTCGTTGTAGAAGTGGTACAATTAATTCATCGTAAACATGTGTTCGCATAATACTACGTATAGAAAAACATCTTAGATTGGGTAGTTTTTCCTAAAACAGACAATAAAAATTAATTTGAAATTATTCAAAATTCATCTACCTCATTAGCGATTGTTAAGCTGGTAGACTTGATATGAAAAATATTTACATGACAGTTACGAAGTTGTTTGAAGCGTCCATCAAGTAAATAAAGACAATCAGTAAAACTATGAACATTGACATGCAATTCTAACAAAGTTGAAGAAACAAAAGTTGGAAGTGATTTGTCAAATATTAATCCATGAAAGGCGAGTGAAGATGGATAGAATTTTAAATATTGTAAATTGATAAACATAGTAAAGACATCTGTAAATACAATATTATGGAGATATCGTGATGACATTTCGTTATTTGGCACCATATCAATAACAAGGTATGATATTTGGTTTCCGACTCTACGAGTAAAAACATTATCCTCTAAACAAAAGTAAAAAAATATTCAGCAAAAAAATCTAGTTGTTAGTATTGATCAAATCGTATTATTAATGTTTTCATTTTTTTATAACGAATAATCCAACATCCAAATGTATACTTAGAATATATAGTCTCAATAATTTACTCTACTGTATTATAAATATACTAATATGAATTATGCTCAATTTTTAAATACTTCTCGTTTATTCAAAATTAAAGAAATCAAACTAACTAGTAAAGAGAGATATAGCGTTTTTGATGTCAATACCATATAAACCAAGTCCATATAAACTAGGATAATCTGTAGCAAGTAGAATACGTTCCATATATGTTGTTTCTAGATTAAGCCATTTGATCTGATCCTGGATTGAAGGTAAAATTTCTAAAAATCGATCGACTATTCGACCAGGTAATGATCGAATGTTGCTCTTCGATAAAGATTCGAATAGCGTCACATGACTTGTAAAATTTCGATCATGTCCAATTTTATCTAAACGTTTGCTGACATCTGCTAAAGAAAGAAGTACATCAAGCTGATTTAATTCTTGAAAGATAATCATAAGAATTTCGTCTGGCAAATCATCTAACCGGGTGCATGAGTACGAAATATTCATCTTCATTTAAATGTTATACGATTTTATGCTTTTGTGCATGACTATTTATATGCGTTTGTGCTCATTGTCAATGATCGCCAATGAGAACAATGGCGTACTTTTCTATGTTCTCAATTGACGGTCAATAAATAAATAAAAAAAAAATTTTCTTCTTCTTTTTATTTTATGTGTCGATGAACAACATTTACTGAATTTTTTTAATGATGTTATAGAATAAACAAAAATAAAAAAAAATATGGCTGAGACAAAACATAGTTGTTGCATAACTGTTTTGACCTTTGTTGTTATCGACTGATATGATTTATTTTGACGGTCTTACTGTTCCCGATTGTGTTGTTGATAATGAGGCTGATGATGATAGGAACGTGCATGATATTGAACTCCGTTACCATTATTTTGTGCATTATATGTTGATTTAGCTTGAAGAAATGCATCAAGTTGATTAATGACTTCAGCCGATCTTTCAGCAAATCCAGGAATATTTATTGAAAAACATTGGCAGGCACTAGAAAAAATAATATGTTTATGGTGATAAATTGATTCGAACTTACTTGTCAAAATTTATATAATCATCAGAACAGAATTCTTTTAAAAATACTCGACCGTCGACCTTAATTAAGTTTCAAATAAAATTCATTTATAGTGTTTGTTTGTTTTTTCTTACTTGCATATAGGCACTATAGACCTTGTCTACAGTATCATGTATTGTATGAATTTCGATACCATACTTTACGTATGACATACGAATACTATTGTCGAGTTTGTCCAAATTCAGCATTTCGTGTGTCTAAAAGATTAAAAAGTTTAATATTTACTTTTAGACATTAATTCATACTTCATTTTGTGACAACACACGAAAACCCTTATTTATCAACTGGTAGTGAAAGATCACGATTAGTTCATCTATACTTGATAAACAGGATGGTCTGTAAATTGATAAGAACGTTTCGAGATTCGGATATGCGTCCATGTCTAAAAATAAAAATAGTAGACCAATCATATCGTTTTAAAAAATAGTCATTTCTATTATGATCGACGTTTTAGTCTTTAACATTTTTGAGGAAAAAAAACAATGTTGGTTAGCTCCAAGGATTGAAGTGTTGCTGAATATTTTCGTAGATATTATAACGAAATAAAGAAATGTTATCTTGAAATTTCGGGTCAATTATTTTCTTTTTGTTTGTCGATAAATGGATAGGCACATTTCTCTTACGACAAATACTTTAGATGTACCATTAGACATGTGCGGAAGTTATTTTCAGTTAATGTTCGTTCTTTTTCGTTCTCTACATATAGAGTCAGATGGGGTAGATGTAAAAGGAAAATCAAACATTCTTTTTACTTCTCTCAAATCTTTTTTATCATCGATTATTTTGAAAAACTTCCTCGTACAGAAATGCAGAAAAAAATTCTTTTCTATCGATTCATCGAAAGATTTTTTAAAAATATGACTATAACTTAGTGGTGACAGATTCCCTGAGAGCCCAACAGAATTATATATTTACCCCGTTTGAGGTAAACATATAATCTTGCTGGCGCTAGCGGAGTAAATGTATAATCGCAACTATTTTACCTATTATCAGTAAAACCCAAATATTTCTAAAATGATAAAAGATTTTTGAATCATTTTTTTTCTAAAATCTTCGTCATAAAATATTTTACAAGACTGAAATATTTCATGATACAATTTTTAATACTGTAGCTCTCATCTAGGAACATAAGAACATGTAGCTAAAGAGTCATTTTAGGTAAAAATCATTATTCAAAACTAACGACATTCTGGATCAGCATGAAATTTTGAGTAAAATAGTGTTACTTTCTATTGGAAAACAGCTTTCATTTTTTTGACATATTTATTCTACATGTCGGGGACCCCAGGGTTAGCGAAAAAAACATTTTCTTTCATTATTGTATCAAATTTTATATCATTCGGTGCAGAATTCAATGCTGATTTAGAATATGAAACTACAAATGAAACACAATAAGATTTTTCTCAAGACGAACCTATTTTTCTCTCAGATGAGAACATACAATCTTTCATGTTTCCATCATCCTATGACCAAATAATATTGTACCAGAGCAGAAAGCGTTCAAGTCATACACAGTATCATATTTTGCAACTAAAATATATGAATTTTTTTGTCTGTAAGCGTAAATAATGCCGTTTTGAGCTCTTTACACATTGTAACCAACTACATATCAACCCCCTGGAAAATTTTTACTTCATGCAGACATATTAAAAGTTACATCGTTAGAAAGAGCGTAAAAACTGAGTAGACATCAGGTATTTTTTCAGTGGGGTATGCTCAAGTTCCCGGCAACAATTTTAAAAATAAATTTTATAGAAGAGATAACACGAAGCCATCGTTATTTTCAAATAGTTAGCTAGCTCTCTTTTCCCCCTCTTTCGTTCTGTCGGTTTTCTTTTTTCGCTGCACATGCACGTGTGTACATGTATAAGGCCGTTTCAAATATAGTGCATATAATCTTTAGGAAAAAATCTAATGGCCACTATTATGTTAATCATAATGTTGATGAAAACTATAAAAGCCTGCCTTCATTCGAAAAAAAATTGTCTCATCAAATTTCTTTCAAGCGGTGGATAATACACTACAAAAATTAGTAATTAGCATTAAAAGAGTCTAAAATTTCAAATTAAATCAATAGCATATCGATCATCTTCAACAATATGTTTATTGTCTCGTTGAGGGTGTGGGTGTGGGTGTGAATGTGAATGTGGGCGTGAATGCGGGTGTGGGTGTGGGTGTGATTGTGGGTAAGGATTCATGGCCCTCCTTAAGAGTAATACCCACGGCCACCCACACCCACACCCAATAATTTACTTCTGAAAACTTTTCTTAAGAAATTCTTTTCTTAAAATGCATAGAGTCTGTTGAGAAATAGGACTTCAATCCTTTAGGGATAAATTCTCATGAAATCTTCTACCAAGAAAAACTAAAAAGATAACCGAAGATTGAAATTTAAGAGAATTATTTGATGAATTTTTAAGCATTGATAGGAAATAGAATTGAAAATTATAAATTAAAGCTAAACTTATTTAAATTGAAATTGAAAAGAATTTTAAGAACAGCTGATTACGATTGATTTCGACTTGATTGAGAGTATTTCAAATGAACTTTTGTGTTTTCTATAATCTCTTTTTTAAATGCTTTAGTATTATTTATTGCAAGAACAATCATCAATCTTAAAGTTCAATCTAGCATTTAGATTATCTTCAATTACGACCGAGTAAAAATACGAAAAGAAAATAATCGATTCTAAGTGATGGGTTCCTACGATGATTAACTAAATCTCTAGTTCATTTTTATTGATTCACATCATTAACAATGGATTCAATTTACGATTTTTATTTCATTGTATTCCACCTTCATTAGAAGAATCGATGAAACTACGATTATATATTACTTCTTCTATGGATAATTGGCCAAAGCCGTATACAAATAATACATTTTCATTTCATTATCTCGATTGGTCTTACTATTTACTGCCATCGAAAATTAGTCATCAATTCTCCTGCATTCATTGGTTTTTCTCGATCAATTGTTATGTCTGCTGCTTCTCTTCCAGATTCGTTTCATCAGCTATTTCGAATGCTTCTTTTCGATGTATTTGTTTATTTTTATTCTTCTTGATTTTATTTGATCGTCAACAACTGCTCTTACGATTTAGTTTCAGCGGAAATTAGACATCAATTCTACTTCATTAATTTTTTTTTCGATTAAGTTTTATGCGTGGTGCTTTCTTCCATTTGCGATTCGTTTCAGCAAATATTTCGACCTTTTTTTTGTATGTATTTGTTCATTTGTGTTCTTCTAGGTTTTATTTAATGTTTCATGAATGGCATTACGATTTTTCTTTCATTGGAGATTAAATAGACTGCAGGTTCAATCAGTGCTTTTTTCTGGATTTGCTGTCGTGCGGTAGTCGTGTCGAATTTTGGCATTGGGTGGTTGGTCTTTGAATAATGTTTGAATTATTGAACATGTTTCATTTCTTTTTCGTTTAAGTTTTTTTTCTGTTTTCTATTGTTTTGAATTGGTTATTATAGTATTACTGTCAGTTTGTTTTATCGTTGACTCATTTGCTGAGCAAATAGTTCTTGTCATTGTGTACTCTATGATAGCTGTTGTGTGTGGTCTTGTTATAAGTAATTTATATGAATATGCATGCAATGAAGAATGATTCAGATGCTCCTTTTAGAATATCCTCTTGTTAGTTGAATACGTGTGTTGTTAGTTGGATTTGGAATGAATAATGAAGATGTCCCTGTAAAGAATAGTGACTGGAACCTATTTTATGTTTGGAGTGTTATCGAGTCGTTTCTGTGTTCGTTTTGCTGTAGTGCTTTTTTATATTTGATGTGATTCAACAATAATCGTTTGTAATCATGAAAAGAATTGTGTCGGAATTTTTTTATTATCAAGCCTGGTTTGAGTTTTAAACTTGTTTCAAGTTTACTTTTAAGGCTATATACTATATACTATATACATGATACAAGTTATAACAAGAAAATCATACAGAAGAATCACAGTGTATTGTTTCTTTGTACAAAAAATACAGATAAAACAAAAATTCCCATCATAATTAAAACTATATTTATTAAACGTTCATTTTGGTCCAATATACGATTACAAATTTTTTCCAACGATTGACGATCAGCGTTTATCACTTTCGAGTCTCCTTCTGATTGATAGCTGCAGTATGATGAGATTGATTTGTTCGTTGGTGCTGGTTGTCTCAAGATCTCAATCAGCTGCAATAATTCACGGGTCTTCAGGTGTTTCATTGGATGATGCTCCTTGCCTATAGTTCTCTTGTATTGTTCAATAATTGATTCGACACGATTAGCAAATTGACGATGGGCGCATGTTGAGCTGCCTGCATGTGATGGAGAAATTGCTATAAATCGTAGTGCATCAGGAGAACGACAAGGAGTGGGAGTTCGACCTAAATTTCATTTCTCGTTTTTTTTCTGTAACAAAGTAGAAACTTACGAGGATTCAAGCATAATTGTTTTGCGATGTTTGTGATTAATCTAATTAATTCGTTAGATGATCCATTGAATTCAGCATTTGAAGAGAAATCAACGTGAAGCGATGAACCTTTGATAATACCCAGCCAGCTCTCCGCACGAAATGATTTTTCCATCAAGCATGGAATAAACTTTATTCGTTTTTCAGCTGCATATTCAACTTCTATGGAATTTTTTTCCGTAGAATATGATGTGTATTTTGTTAAAAATAAAGTACTTACCTAATCGACAGTAGTGACTCTCATAATAATGTTGATTAATGCAAAGTAATACGATGTACGAGTTTTCAACAGCATTAGCCATACTCACAAGTATATCGTCGCCCATGTTAACTTTATCCATCCATACTATATATTTATTCTCCTAGAAAATAAAGAATTTTCTATTAATTGATAGAAAATATGAATAATTATAATTACTAAAAGACGATTGTAAATTTTTCGTACCATTTTCGTCGACGAACGATTATAGCTGATCATTATGTGACGCTTTTTTCCTTGTTGAGTAGTTGCTGTTGGTATATTACGAAATATTGATGCAGTTCGTTCTCGATCTAAAACATTAATCGATGATATGGTTCGGAAAACAAATTATTTTCATACCAATACTATCTTGGGAATATAATTGTATAATTTTATCGACAATTTGATCTGGTTGTTGACTTGCGCTATGTATTAAATTTTTACTTGTGTTTATTGGTATTGCTGTTCAGCGGCGTAGCCAAGGGGGGGGGGGGGGGGGGCGAAAGGNTGATATTTTTGAGACTGAAATAGTTTTGCCTATCAATAAAAATATTGCCCAAATTGCCCATATCTTTTTTTATACACAACACAAGTTTGCCCATAACGCTAAAAATCCTGTATACGCCATTGTTGCTGTTGCTTTTATTGTATCGCTTGAATCAGACACAAGTAAAGATAATCCTTGTGTAGCTAAATAAAGGAATGAATTATATTGTGTTTTTGTTTTTTAAGTTGGAAAACCTTTATATGTATTTGTTCCATTCGTTCGTTCATCTTCAGTACGACTACTAGTTGAAAATAAAGCTTGATTAACCTTTGTGTGATCAGGAACTTTTTCTGTGAAAATATTGATAATAAAAATTTCATTAATCAAATCTCTTACCTTCTTTTTTACCACCATCTGAAAATTCCAGGTTTAAAATACCACTTATGATATTCTAGAAAAAAATTAACAATTGATTTCAATAGTAAAAGGAAAATTCATCATTTTTTTTCTTACTCGAATTTCTTGTGAAGAAAACGAAAATTTGTTTGTTGACACTTTTCGTCGACAATCATCCATGTCGGGATTTTTTCTAGAATTTTTATTCGACGATCTGAAAAAAAAGTGCACAATTATTAATTAATAAAATGAAAAACTCAAAAACCAACTAAGAACTTAGTTCTCAGTAAATGATTTCACTATTTGATCTATTTTGAAATAAAACAATGATGAAAACACATGGTTGAACATTATTTCATTGTTTCAGTTCGAACAGGTACCAGAAGAGCAATATATTGGTCAATATCCTACCCCGGTATCAAACTGGACACACTACATTCAGAATAGATGTCACTCCTTCAGAATAGCTCGATTCGCGGACGTAGTAGTGAATAGGTTATGTCCACAAAGCAAGAAGAAAGTTCATTAACTTGATGCAGACCAAATCGAATTTTGTTCTTATTCTAATAAAATACCAAATCTCGCATAGCTTCAACGACTTTGTACTTCGCTTGTATCTATAGTCGTTGATGAATGAAGACATGTTCAGCCGATAAAGCTACACCTCAGTAGAGAATGGCATTATCACCGTTGATAATTATCAAAGAACACAATTGAATCTAACTTGTTTCTTGATATGATGAGTAACTTCGGCTATTCAAATAAATATTTATATTAGTACTCAACAGCTAGCAGTAAAAAATAGCCAGAATAAATAATTCGTCAAGATAAAAAAAAATATCTTTGTTTATTCATGAATGCATATTTTCAATTCCACTATCGAATTTCATCTTCTTTTTATTTCCTTGTTTTATCAACAGATGTTACATTAAAGAAAAAAAAACAATATTTTGTCGATGTTGATTCGTACCATTGTGTTATATGTTATTATTTTTTCTTGGCATCTTTGACAGAGGCTTTCTTAGTACCACGTACTTTCTTCATACGATTCTTACGTTCTTTACGTTGTTTTCTTGCTGTTTTCTTTGGTTCAGCAAGACCTTGTCGTACAAGATGATGACGTGGTTCAAACTTTTTTGCAAAATCAAGTGTATCATAGATGAGTGCAAAATCAGTTGATTTACCACCACCAAAATTCGTATTAAAACCATAACAAAAGACAAGATCCGATGTTGTTTTATAAAGTTGTGCAACTTTTTCACGGATTTCTTTTTTTGAGAGTGACGCACGATCTGGATGAATCACATCCACAACCATTCGTCGACGACAAAGTAAACGATTCGATTTAAATTTTCTTGTACGAATTGTACAAGCTGAATCCGACATGATTTATGCACTAATCTAAAACACAAAAAGAAAAATACATATATATATATATATATATACTATATATATATATATGCATATAATCATAGATTATTGTTGATGACGAGAAGCTTTAAATTTTGATACACGTTTTGGAGGTTCAACTATAGTTGTAGTTATTCCCTCTCGTTCAATAGTTCTGCCAGTAAAAGCTACTGGCGTCGTTTCAATACCAATAGCACCTGAATGAGGAAAAAGTGCTGGTGATGGATCTACAACAAGCTGTGAATCAGTATTATCCCATGCAGAAAAATTTAGGGTAGAAATCGGATTAAAATCGATTGAAAATCGATTATAATCATACACCTTTAATCGATTGGGAATCGATTATAATCAAAAATAATCCAAAAAACAAAATTTTCATCGATTATTCCTATTATTTTCGATTATAATCGATTAAAAATTCATGAAAAAAATTGATTATAATAGATTTTCGTACATGAAAAATGGCAACATTTTTAAGGAATTTTCTTCGCTTTGCNATAATAGGAATAATCGATGAAAATTTTGTTTTTTGGATTATTTTTGATTATAATCGATTTTCAATCATTTTTCAATCGATTTTAATCTGATTTCTACCCTAAATTTTTTTACATGGATAGTATGATGAATGAAAATTTTTCGAAATTGTTCCCTGGGTGTATCATCTTCATCTTCATCACTATCAACATCCATTTTTTCATCATCAAAATGTACACGTTTTTGTGATGTAACAGCTAATTTTTTTGCACGCCTTGTAATCGACGTCATTCTTCACGAATTTCTTCATCGGTTAATTTAGTACGTCGATTTAATGGGTTTTTTTTCTTCTTGCTTAACACCAGTATCGTCATCATTTTCTTTAATTTCAAACATATTTTTTCGATCATTAAGAAATTCACTGGTATATTTTTTCTGTTGATTAAATACTTCTTTTTCTTTGCGATGTTTTTCAATTTTTTCTTTAATATTTTCAAGACGACGATTCACAATCTCAATCGATTGTTTACATGTACGTTCAACAAAATAATCATCACCGAGTAAAACAAGAATTTCATTTGAATGAACAATACGACCAGGTATAAAAGCTAATTTGCCAAAGGGTGCCATACATTCATAAGTTAAACGATCAGGTAATGTCGAAAGACGTTGACTTACTCTTTCTTTATTGTGAATCTGTTCTTAAGCACGTATTTTTTTTTATTACTGCACTCCTTCTCAAAATTCTGATTTGACTATCGTATGAAATATATATTGTCTGTGCCTGTATCTTTTGTAGAACTCACACGTATTTTCGAGGAAAATTGTAGAGTGTAAGTTACAGACACTATTAATTGGGTAGAGCTGCCATTACAGACCATAGCAACTAGCCTCTGTCATCGTTAGATGTACCAGCAAATAAATAATCCTGCCCTATTTAAGATAAATAGGCTAGGATGTCTCGAAGAGAAAAAAAAGTGACAGGTCCATGAAAGTGGTTTGAATTGCGAAAAGACAAATCCACCATTTCTTAACACTTTCCCTTCTTTTTGAGATCGTTTTTTTGAAAAGAAAAACTACCATTTTGCGTGCAAAAAAACAAAAATTTTCTAAAGTGGAAGGTTTGGATCGCCTGCACAGTAGATCCCTACAAATAGTTTATGGATTCATTATAAATTTTAGAGAATAAAGCAGATTTTTTGCTTGAACTATTTTGCATTGGCCTAGCAAATCTAAGAGATATATGTCAATTCCAGACCTTTAGTCTCAAAGGGACTATGGTAACAAGCTTTTTTCTGCGAATTACAAGAAGGAAACTTTCATTTTAGATTGATAAATAAAATGGCAACTTAAAATTCAACCATGTGTAATAGTCTGATGAATTGTAGCATAATCTTCAATAGAGTATTGAATATAACACTTGGTCAGTCAATCTGTGCCTCTCATGTTGCTCCTAATCTTCAAGATAATTTCTTCGAACATCATGTGATTTGAATATCCGGAAACCGATTTTAGCACTACGTATATCGATCATCAGAACATATCACAAAATAAATCATAGATTTATGCGTATAGATCTTCATCAATAAGTTATTTGGTCTTAATTTTCTATTGTACTGGTAAAATGATGGTTAGTCTACTGTCTAGAATTCAAATAGTCAACCGTCGATGTTTTGTTTTAATTTAGATTACATTCATTTTTTTCTCTTTCTCAAAAGAATTGATACCTCTGTCGTGTAGGAAATTATTTAAAAACTCGTTGTTTTAAATGCTTTAAAATAGTAATTAGTAATAAAATTCATAATGAATCTTTTATTTAACAAAAAAAATACAAATTACACCACGAAAAAATCATCAAGTGTTGTCCGCCTAAAATCAAGCCTAAAACAAGGACCATTGTCTCACGAGGATCTTAGGGAGCATATCAAAATGTTTGCCGTTCGGCCGTTCTGCCGCGGCATAAACAATTTATTTTAATTACATTTTGAGGTGTGATCTGTTTCTTTTGATGTACATTGCTACTTCTAGTGAATATTCCGGGAACTGGTAATTTAAGCACGGGAAAAATCAGCACGTAAAAGTTCAGCACAAGGA